CATGATAAACTCATTAACCAACAAGAGACATTTGCTTACTTTACACAGTATTTTCAAAAGCACCTCTAGGATTTTACAAAACATTTAATTCTTTTAGGCCTCTGGGCCTTTCTCATTAAGATAACCATCGTGTCTAGTAACACAAGATCATTGGACTTTTTAACTTTCAGACATTTGTATCAGTGGCATTTTATATTATCAAAACTTAAAATTTAGCATGACTTCACATTTTAACAATACCTGTAATATAACCCAAATAGCCTGATTGATTAGCTGGTGTCTCTCCACATTTTTGCTGGTGGCTCAGGCTACTGTGATCTTGTCTCACCTCACTTTCTAGTTCTGAGCATAATATACTTCCCTTCTGATTAAAAAAAAGGAGAAATAAGACTTAACATGCCCACCTGAGGTATACCCTTAACCCTGGAGACTGAAGAGTTCTCTGGCCACACCCACTACAAGCCTCCAGAGATTCAGTGAAAGCAGAAAGTCCACTTATCTAGAGTCATAGTACAAAAATAAAATCCACCACAGTGGAATAAAAAGAAGAAATCTTGCTGGTCTGGACAAGTGGTGGCAAATTCTTTCAATTTCTGTTTGTTATGAAAGGTCTTTATTTCACTTTCATTCACAAATGAGAGTTTTGCAGGGTATAATAATCTGGGATGACAGCTTTATTCTCTTAGGACTTGGGCTAGATTTTGCCATTTTCTCTTAGCCTGCAGGGTTTCTGATGAGAAGTCTGCTGTGAGTCTAATTGGAGATCCTCTGAGAGTAATCTGATGTTTCTCTCTTACACGTTTTAGAATCTTCTCTTTTTGTTTCACTGTGGCAGTTTGATTACAATGTGTTATGGCAAGGAGGTTTTCTGATCATGTCTATTCAAAGTTCTGTTTGCTTCCTGTACTTGGATGTCTCCTTCTTTTTCCAAACCCGGAAAGTTTTCTGCTAGTATTTCACTAAAAATGCCTTCTAATCCTTTCTCTCTCACCATGCCTGCAGGAACTCCTAGAACCAGAATGTTGGTCTTATTTTTTTTTTATAGTATCCTGTAGATCCCAACAGTCTTTTTTAGATTTCTAATCTCCTGTTCTTGTGTTTGGTTTGACTGTATACTTTCCTGTACTGTCTACTAAGTCTGGTATTCTCTCTTCTGCCTCACTGATTCTATTTTTAAGGCTCTCCACTGCATTTATTTGTTGTATTGAATTCTTCATTTCATTTTGATTTCTTTTAATATCTCAGTTTCATGTTCTGTTGAATTCTTCATTTCATCTTGATTCCTCCTGATAATTTTTACTTCATGGGAGAGATTTTCTTTCATGTCCTTCATGGATTTCAGTAGTTTGTGCATTTGCTTTTGATTACTTCTATGTAATCTTATGACCAAATTTTTGAGTTCTATTTCTTGCATTTCTTCTCTCATCATCTTCATGACCTAGTATTGAAATGCCATGTTCTTTTGGGAGCATGATGATGTTTTCCTTATTCTTGCTTCTTGCATTTGGCATTCGTGGAAATACTCGTCTTTTTTTTTTTTTTCTGGCAGTTTTTATCATTGTATTATGACTGTAGATAAATGGACTTTCTGCTTTTACTGAATCTCTAGAGGCTTGTAGTGGGTGTGGCCAGAGAGCTCTGTTCAGTTTTCAAGGGGAAAGGGTATGCCTAAGGTGACACCCAGGTTTGGCATGGTAAATCTTTTTTGAATCAGAAGGGAGTTATATTCTATTCAACTGAGTTCTTCTCTTCAATGGAGACCATTGCCTGAGTACTAAATCAAGTGGGTATAATATTCACTCTGTCCCAAGGACCACATAAGGATCTGTGCTCTCAATGTGGGACCTCTGTCCTTAGTGAGAATTAACAGTAAATCTAGTCTTCAAACACCTGTTTAGCTGGGAGCCTAGGAAAAAGTGCTCAGGCAAGTAATATTGTGAAAAATTAGTTCTAAGTAATATGAAAGATAACCCAGAGAAAACAGCAGTCCAGCAAATCATTCAACCTCACTGAAACTACCAGCAGCTACATCATTCATTTTCTATTAAATCTGTTTATAATAAGATTTAATTTGATGAACACTTGCAAGAAGCTGTGGGGACTTAAACAGGGATGAAGAGCTATTTCTTATGGGTAGTAATGGAGGTGGAATGGATTAGTTGCACAGCTATTATCTAGATGGGAAATAAAAGAGCTACTGAAGCTAGATGCATCATAGCATTTGTAGCCCTGTTATCATGGGATAGCCAAGCAACCTAGGAAAAGTGTTCCTCCTGAGGGTATCCTGAGGAACTAACTGAGTGTAAATCAGATTTATATCAATCCAGAAAGGACTTTGTAAATTGGAAGGAATAAAAATACACATTTTCAATAAAAATGAAAGCCACCTGCAGGAGCAGGGAATAATGAAACAAAAAAAAAAGGTTATAAAAAATTATAAGTTAAATTAATACAAAAGTGTACTACAGGGGCCAGCACTGTGTCACAGCAGGTTAATGCCCTGACCTGAAGTGCTGGCATCCCATATGGGTGCTGGTTTGAGACCTGGCTGCTCCACTTCCAATCTAGCTCTCTGCTATGGCCTGAGAAATAGTGGAAGGCCCAAGTGCTTGGGTCCCTGCACCTACATGGGAGATCTGGAGGAAGCTCCTGGTTTTGGATCAGCACAGTTCTGGCCATTGTGGCCAACTGGGGAGTGAAGCATTGGATGGAAAATTCTCTCTCTCTGCTTCTGCTCTTTCTGTGTAACTCTGACTTTCAAATAAATAAATCTTTTTTTTAATACTACATTTATGCTCCTGCTTCTCTATTGCAATGGGTACCACATGGATAGACTTCATTCCATGTTCTTGTCTCAAGGCAGTTAGGAATAGGATGAAAAAGCATAGAAAAGGGGCATCATGAATGAAAAAGGCATTATGCACTCAGTAATACAGGAAAATTCAGATGAGTGTTGCAACTTATAGGGATTGAGGTTGTCCCTTAAAAGAATGAGGGTAATGTGTGTGGTAACATCTACTTGCATATTCAAATAGACCTTGGGTAGTGGAGTCTAATCCAGATGTGCACACAGATAAAGTTGAAATTTCTCATGGGTATATAGGTCACCACACACTCATTCCCTTGTGTTGCACACAACACTTATTATCCAGAGCCAGGGTACACTATTATGGCTGGAACATGTGTCACTTGATATGCCTATGGTCACATCACTGGTTTGCACTACAATAATGTGGGGAAAGAATCCTGGGTGGCCAAAAAAGCAGCTATAAAACAAATAACTTTGTAATTGATGAAGATGGTATTCCAAATAACTGTAGAAATAACTGTTACTCAACTTTTAAATATTTATTAACAAAATTTACACAAGAGAGCACAGTTCAGTTCATATACCTGATCACACTCACAATAATGAGAAACCAAAAGTTCAGGTTGAATAAGAGAAAAATTTCTGAAGAACGGTTAACCACTCTCTATCACAATTCATCATGAAAACTGCCCAATACTCACTAAGGTGTGATTCCACCAAAGAATTCTTCCAAACAAATTATATTTCAGGGACTTCTCTCTGTAATCTTGCTATGTTTTGTGGAAGTTTGCCTAATAATAAAGGTATTTCACATTATAATACAGTCATAGGATGTCGCTCCCCCATTCACGGAGGAACGACACAGGACCCTGCGCTGTTCTTTTGTCTGCTCGGCCCTTCCCGGGTTTGCTGCTGGTCCTTCCAGGGTGGACTGCCGACCCCTCCACCTCCGTGGAGGGGCGGTTCCCCCTGCCACTTTCCCCACTTCTGCAGGGGAGTGGCACACCGCCGACCAGCTCTCTCGGGGGCTGCTCAGATGTTATCTGGATGTTCCCAGTGCATGTTGTCTCTCTCCTCCTTTATAGTCCTCTTCCACCAATCCCAACTCTGCTACCCACACGCCAAGTACGCTGCTCTCCTCCAAGCAGGAGCAGGATCAGCTCCTGCAGGTTATTGGTCGAACTGGAGGCAGCTGTGTAAAAGTTGTTTACTCCTCTCCCAGCGCCATATTGTGGGAGAGCAGATGCATAGAATAAGTCTTAATTCCAGTAACTTAGTCTAGTCCGAGTTGCTCCCCACAATAGGATTTTTTCTTTCTGTGAGTTGTCAGGTAACCATTGAGAGGTGACTTATGGTACATGACTTTTCTATGCATGTATGTTTTCTCATTTCAGAGTCTCTTCATGTGAATTGATTAATGGCAGAAAATTTTTTTCACATTCATTAAATTGACATTTTACTGTATGAATTCTCTGGTGTTAGTTGATGTTTAATTTCTTTTTTTTTAATTTTCTATAAAGAATTTTTATTTTATTTTATTATTTTTTTTAAACTTTTATTTAATGAATATAAATTTCCAAAGTACGACTTATGGATTACAATGGCTTCCCCCCCATACCGTCCCTCCCACCCACAACCCTCCCCTTTCCCACTCCCTCTCCCCTTCCATTCACATCAAGATTCATTTTTGATTATCTTAATATACAGAAGATCAGCTTAGTATACATTAAGTAAGGATTTCAACAGTTTGCTCCCACACAGAAACATAAAGTGAAAAATAATAGATGATTTTTTTTAAATGATGATGAAATCAGATCAGACCTATTTTCATGTTTAATCCCAGTGAGAAGGCCGGTGCCGCGGCTCACTGGGCTAATCCTCTGCCTAGCGGCGCCAGCACACCGGGTTCTAGTCCCGGTTGGGGCGCCGGATTCTGTCCCGGTTGCCCCTCTTCCAGGCCAGCTCTCTGCTGTGGCCAGGGAGTGCAGTGGAGGATGGCCCGGGTGCTTGGGCCCTGCACCCCATAGGAGACCGGGAAAAGCACCTGACTCCTGGCTCCTGCCATCGGATCAGCGCGGTGCGCCGGCCGCAGCGCGCAAGCTGCGGCAGCCATTGGAGGGTGAACCAACGGCAAAAGGAAGACCTTTCTCTCTGTCTCTCTCTCTCACTGTCCACTCTGCTTGTCAAAAAAAAAAAAAAAAAAACGAAAAGAAAAAAGAAAAAAATATGGAATGCTTCACGAATTTGCGTTCTTTTTTTTTAAGATTTTTATTTATTTGACAGGTAGAGTTACAGACAGTGAGAGAGACAGAGATAAAAGTCTTCCTTCTGTTGGTTCACTCCTCAAATGGCCACAGTGGCCAGAGCTGCACTTATCTGAAGCCAGGAGCCAGGTGCTTCTTCCTGATCTTCCGTGTGGGTGCAGAGGCCCAAGCAATTGGGCTGTCTTCTACTACTTTCCCAGGCCACAGTAGAGAGCTGGATTGAAGAGGGGCAGCTGGGACTAGAACTTGCACCCATATGGGATGCCAGTATAGCAGGTGGAGGATTAACCTATTGCTCCACGGCGCCGGCCTGATGTTTAATTTCTGGCTATGGTTTTTTGAGGTCTATTGCACTTGAAGGATATCACCTTTTTTGAGTTGCATATTTATGCAAGGCAGAATTCTATGAAAATATACTTCCACATTCATTACACTCCTAAGAAACCCCTTGTGTGAATTTTCTGATGTATAATGCCATTTCTGACAAATGGCTTTTTGTCACACTAATAATATTTCTGAACTTCTTAATTTTTTTTAACAATTTACGTTATTTATTTGAAAGACAGAGTTAGAGACAGAGAAGCAGAAAGAGGTCTTCCATCTGCTAGTTCACTCCCCAGATGGATGCAATGGCTGGAGCTGAAGGGATCCAAAGCCAGGAGTCAGGAGCTTCTTCTGGGTCTCCCATGTGGGTGCAGGGCCATCTTCTACTGCTTTCCCAGGCCATAGCAGAGAGCTGGATCAGAAGAGGAGCAACTGGGACTAAAACCAGTGCCCACATGGTATGCCAGCATTTCAGGCCAGGGCTTTAACCTACTGTGCCACAGCGCTGGTCTCAACCTTTCTTCCTTATGGGAGTGCCTATTGTATAGGATGTAATTTCCAGCAAAAGGCTCTGTCACATGGTTATGTTGATTTTGCAAAAAGTCCTTCACATTCATTATATTCTTAGGTTCTCTCCCTTGTTTGATCTACATGTTATGAGGTATTCCTTCTGACAAAAGGCTTTCCCACATTTATTACAAGATTTCCACCATGTAATAAACTCTCTGATGTTATATTGTGTGATTTTGGCAGAGTTTTCCAACATTCATTCCATTCATAAGGTTTCTCCTCCATGTGAATTCTGATGTTTTATGAGGTGTTACTTATGGATAAAGGCTTTTCCATATGCATTATATCCAAAGTGTTTTCCCCCATATGAATTAGATGATGTGCAATGAGGGCTGAATTATGGGAAAAAGCTTTCCAAGTCATTATGTCCAAAAGGTTTCTCTTCCTGTGCATTTTCTGATGCATTCTGAGATGTGACTTATTGCCAAGGGCTTTTCTACAGTCATTGCATTCATAAAGTTTCTCCCCAGTGTGAATTCTCTGGTGTGATATGAACTATGATTTATAACATATGATTTATAAAGGCTTTTCCACACTTATTAGATTCACAAGGTTTCTGCCCTGTGTGAATTGTTTTGATATGAGTATAACTTATAGAAAAAGGCTTTTCTGCAGTCATTACATTTATAAGGTTATTTCCCTGTGTGAATCCTCTGATGCATTTGGAGTTGGAACTTAAGTTTTTCCAGTCATTACACTCATGAAGTTTCAATACTGTGTGCATTCTCTGGTGCATTATGAGGTGTGACTTTTGTCCAAAGGCTTTTCCAGTCATTACATTCATAAGGTTTCTGCCCTGTGTGAATTCTCTGATGCATGATGAAGGTTGACTTACGGCTAATTGCTCTCCACAGTTATTACAATCATGAGTTTTATACCCTGTGTGAATTCTCTGCTGTGATATGAGGTTTGTCTTTTGTCCAAAGGCTTTTCCACAGTCATTACATTCATAAGGTTTCTCCCCTGTGTGAATTCGCTGATGTATCATGAGGCCTGAGTTGTGTCCAAAGGCTTTTCCACAGTCATTACATTTATGAGGTTTCTGCCCTGTGTGAATTTGCTGGTGTATGATGAGGTCTGACTTTCGTCCAAAGGCTTTTCCACAGTCATTACATTTATGAGGTTTCTGCCCTGTGTGAATTCTCTGATGCATGATGAAGGTTGACTTACAGCTAATTGCTCTCCACAGTTATTACAATCATGAGTTTTATACCCTGTGTGAATTCTCTGCTGTGATATGAGGTTTGTCTTTTGTCCAAAGGCTTTTCCACAGTCATTACATGTATGAGGTTTCTCCCCTGTGTGAATTCGCTGATGTATGAGGAGGGCTGACTTTTTTCCAAAGGCTCTTCCACAGTCATTACATTTATGAGGTTTCTCCCCTGTGTGAATTCGCTGATGTTTCCTGAGGCCTGACTTGTGTCCAAAGGCTTTTCCACAGTCATTACATCTATGAGGTTTCTCCCCTGTGTGAATTTGCTGGTGGATGATGAGGTGTGACTTTTGTCCAAAGGCTTTTCCACAGTCATTACATCTATGAGGTTTCTCTCCGGTGTGAATTCGCTGATGTTTCCTGAGGCCTGACTTGTGTCCAAAGGCTTTTCCACAGTCATTACATTTATGAGGTTTCTCCCCTGTGTGAATTTGCTGGTGTATGATGAGGATTGACTTTCGTCCAAAGGCTTTTCCACAGTCATTACATGTATGAGGTTTCTGCCCTGTGTGAATTCTCTGATGTATGAGGAGGTTTGACTTTTTTCCAAAGGCTCTTCCACAGTCATTACATTTATGAGGTTTCTCCCCTGTGTGAATTCGCTGATGTATGAGGAGGGCTGACTTTTGTCCAAAGGCTTTTCCACAGTCATTACATGTATGAGGTTTCTCCCCTGTGTGAATTTCCTGGTGGATGATGAGGTCTGACTTTCGTCCAAAGGCTTTTCCACAGTCATTACATGTATGAGGTTTCTCCCCTGTGTGAATTCGGTGGTGTATTACGAGGTTTGACTTTGTTCCAAAGGCTTTTCCACAGTCATTACATCTATGAGGTTTCTCTCCGGTGTGAATTCGCTGATGTTTCCTGAGGCCTGACTTGTGTCCAAAGGCTTTTCCACAGTCATTACATTTATGAGGTTTCTCCCCTGTGTGAATTCGTTGGTGTATGATGAGGATTGACTTTCGTCCAAAGGCTTTTCCACAGTCATTACATGTATGAGGTTTCTCCCCTGTGTGAATTCGTTGGTGTATGATGAGGTGTGAATTTTGTCCAAAGGCTTTTCCACAGTCATTACATTTATGAGGTTTCTCTCCTGTGTGAATTCGCTGATGTTTCCTGAGGCCTGACTTGTGTCCAAAGGCTTTTCCACAGTCATTACATGTATGAGGTTTCTGCCCTGTGTGAATTTGCTGATGTATGAGGAGGTTTGACTTTTTTCCAAAGGCTCTTCCACAGTCATTACATTTATGAGGTTTCTCCCCTGTGTGAATTCGCTGATGTATGAGGAGGCCTGACTTTTGTCCAAAGGCTTTTCCACAGTCATTACATTTATGAGGTTTCTCCCCTGTGTGAATTTGCTGGTGTATGATGAGGTCTGACTTTCGTCCAAAGGCTTTTCCACAGTCATTACATGTATGAGGTTTCTCCCCTGTGTGAATTCGTTGGTGTATGATGAGGTTTGACTTTGTTCCAAAGGCTTTTCCACAGTCATTACATCTATGAGGTTTCTCCCCTGTGTGAATTTGCTGGTGGATGATGAGGTGTGACTTTTGTCCAAAGGCTTTTCCACAGTCATTACATTTATGAGGTTTCTCTCCGGTGTGAATTCGTTCATGTTTCCTGAGGCCTGACTTGTGTCCAAAGGCTTTTCCACAGTCATTACATTTATGAGGTTTCTCCCCTGTGTGAATTTGCTGGTGTATGATGAGGACTGACTTTCGTCCAAAGGCTTTTCCACAGTCATTACATGTATGAGGTTTCTCCCCTGTGTGAATTTGCTGATGTATGAGGAGGTTTGACTTTTTTCCAAAGGCTCTTCCACAGTCATTACATTTATGAGGTTTCTCCCCTGTGTGAATTTGCTGGTGTATGATGAGGTCTGACTTTCGTCCAAAGGCTTTTCCACAGTCATTACATGTATGAGGTTTCTCCCCTGTGTGAATTCGTTGGTGTATGATGAGGTCTGACTTTCGTCCAAAGGCTTTTCCACAGTCATTACATTTATGAGGTTTCTCCCCTGTGTGAATTCTCTGGTGTACTATGAGGTCTGACTTCCACAAAAAGCCTTTTCCACAGTGAAGGCATTTATGAAGTTTCTCTCCTGTGTGAATTCGCTGATGGTTTATGAGGTATGACTTTTGTGTAAAGGCTTTTCCACAGTCACTACATTCATGAGGTTTCTCCCCTCTGTGAACTTTCTGTTGTTTCCTGAGGACTGACTTTTGTCCAAAGGCTTTTCCACAGTCATTACTTTCAGAAGGTGAATTAAAACTGAGTGATTTTCCACAAGGTTTACATGTGTAAAATTTTTCCCTTGTATTTAGTCTCTGGTTTATTGCAAGATGTGACTGGTGAATGAGAGGTTCAACATACATAATGTACTTATAAAATTTCTTTCTTGTGTGAGTTTGTTGATGCATATTGAGGCTAGAATTTTCATGGATAGCTTTATCTATTTGCGTTGCTTTTCCAAAAGTGACAGTTGACTTATTACAGTTTTCTGCCATATGAACCCTCTCAGATTTATAGAACATCTTTCTTGTGAAGACTTTTGCTTGTCCAGTGGGTCCAAATGTCTGCTTCATCATGTGAATATTGTCAAGCTGACTAAGAGGCTCACAGAACTGGAGAGATTTTCCAGGTATCTTAGTGTTATCAAATTTCTCTCCAGCCTGTAGTTGACCAGGCCCACTGGGGGGATACACAGTGTGACATTTATTCCATTCCTCAGGCTTCAATCCTGAATAGATTCCCTTTTGAATAATCAGTGTTGGAACATGGCTTGAATTTAAACTAAGTGTTTTTCTTAATTCAATTCTCTTGAGAGCTGATGTCTTGTTATTTTTCATAAAATCCTGATTCAGATTTTTGTCCTGACTTTCCTGGTTGATCCTAATCAGGTCATCCCTTTTCATGACCACTGAAATGAGAAAAAAGCAATCATGTCACTGAATCACATGTAACTGTTTCTCCTGGCATACTCATGTAAAGGGAATGAAGTTACTTGTTATCCAAGTGGCATAAGATGTTCACAAAATCAGTATGAGGTACTTATTTGTGACCATTATATGGTTTTTCTCCTTAATACATTAATATACCATAAGGTTTCCCAATGTTCAAACATGACCCTTTTTACTATGGGAATTTGTCAAGGATGGTAGAATGACTTTTGTGCTATGATGTGTGGGATGCCTGCATCTCAAAACAGTGTCAGTTTGAGCCCTGGCTACTCTGCTTTCAGTACAGCTCTCTGCCTATGTAAACTGGAAGGAACCAGATAATGGTTCATGTGCCTGGGAACCTGTGAGAAACTAGGGAAGACTAGAGGGATTCTAGAGTTTTGGCTTCAGACTAGTTAGACTTAAGTGTTGCAGGCATCTGGGAAGTGAGCTAATAGAGGACTTCTTTCTCTCTCTCTCTTCTCTCACTATCACTCTGCCTTTCACAAAGATGAAATAACTATAAAATATTTTAAAGAATGGGCAAATATTTAATAAAAATATTCACCCACTACCTAGCAACCATTTTTTTCCCTGTGCTTTTTCTCCAGTTTATTTTTATAAAAATTGTGTGCTTTTTGCTTCTCTGATATCTCAACCATAAACATGAAAAAGTTTTACTGATCATTTACTTGCAGGTGGAGAAGAGTGGAATGTGCCTGTACTTTAAGCAGGACAACATTTAAGGAGTAGGATTTAAATCTATGAGTGTCTCATGCTCAGTCTTCCTAGGTAAATATCATTTGTGGGATTTTTCAAATGAAAAACTACTTTGTCTCTACTCTATGACAGCTTCCCCAAATTCCTAAGGACACCCAACACCTTCAGCTTCTCAGAAGTACAACAGGTACAGAAAATTCCCAATATACCACTTTAGTTAAACGCTCCCAATTAGTTTGAAGAATTTATTCCTGCAAACCAGGATGTACTCATCTTCTTTGAAAAGTGTTTTCTAACTCATTCTGAAATCATCAGTGCTGGTTACCTCCTCTAAATTCTTTCTAGAAACATTCCTGTGTGATAATTTGAATTTCTGGAGACTTTTGATCAGTTGCCTCCTATTTTCACTGAAAGCTTCATTTCCTATGCTTTCCTTATCTTTTTGTTTGTTTATTTTTCAATGATACTGAAAAATAGGAGAGAAATCATACTTCAAACTCCACCCTTAAAGAAATCTGAGCCACTCAACATAACCCCATGAGGCTACTTGACCTTGGGTCTCAAAATCTCATTACTTTCTTGGTGAGTCTAGGATCACTTATTTTCATGTTTTATGTAAGCTCATGCTTAGTTTATGATTTCTTTTTTTCAAAGATTTACTTTATTTATTTGAAAGCTAGAATTATAGAGAGAGAGACAGAGAGAAGTCTTCCATCTGCTGGTTCACCACCCATATGGGCACAACAACCAGTGCTGGGCCAAAATGAAGTTAGGAGCCAGGAGTGTCTTTCTTATCTCCCACATGGGTACAGGGGTCCAAAGACTTGGGCCAACCTCTGCTCCTTCTGCAGGTGCATTAGCAGAGAGCTGGATTAGAAGGGGACCAGCTGGGACTTGAACTGGCACCCATATGCAATGCTAGTGTTGCAGGCTGGAGCTTTAACACACTGCACCACAGTGTCATTCCTAGCTTCATAATTTCTGATGTCACAGCACAGAGGCTTACTCATGACCATCTTTTATTTTTAAAGATTTATTTATTTATTTGAAAGTCAGAGTTACACAGAGAGAGGGGAGAGGCAAAGAGAGTAAGGTCTTGATCCAATGGTTCACTCCCCAATTGGCCACAATGGCCAGAACTGTGCTGATCTGAAGCCAGGAGCCAGGAGCTGCTTCTGGGTCTCCCTTGGGTGCAGGGGTCCAAGGACTTTTACTGCTTTCCCAGGCCATAGCTGAGAGCTGGATCGGAAGTGGAGCAACTGGGTCCTGAACTGGTGTCCTTATGGGATGCTGGTGCTTCAGGCTAGGGTGTTAATTCACTGTGCCACAGCACCAGCCACATGACCATCTTTTAGCATTTACTTATTTACTTACTTGAGAGTCAGAGAGACAGAATGAGAGGTAAAGACAGACTGAAACAGAGGTTTGCCAACTGCAGGCTCACTCCTCAAATGTTTCCAACAGACTATAATTTTCTATTTATTTTAGAAGCACAGAGGAAAAAAAAGAAAGAGACTAAGAAAGAGAGAGTTCACATTTATTGATTCAGTCCTGAGTAAGTTCTATGCCTGGGCAAAATCATGAGTGGGAACTCAATCTGAGCAATGTGTTAGAAATAAATTTCTGAGGGCCAGCGTTGTGGCATAGCAGGTAAAGCCACCACCTGCAGTGCCAACATCACTTATGGCCACCAGTTCAAGTCCTAGCTGCTCCACTTCTGATCCAGCACTCTGCTATGGCCTGGGAAAGCAGTAGAAGATGGCCCAAGTCCTTGGACCCCTGTACCCATATGGGAGACCTGGGAGAAGCTCCTGGCTCCTAGCTTCAGATCAGTACAGCTCCAGCCACGACAGCCAATTGGGAAGTGAACCAGTGGATGGAAGACCTCTCTTTCTCTCTCTGCTTCTCCTTCTTCTCTCTCTCTGACTTTCAAATAAATAAATAAATAAATCTTTAAAAAAAAAAACAGAAACAGGCTGGCATGGCAGCTCAATAGGCTAATCCTCTGCCTGCTGGCACCGGCACACCAGGTTCTAGTCCTGGTCGGGGTGTCAGATTTTGTCCCGGTTACCCCTCTTCCAGGCCAGCTCTCTGCTGTGGCCCAGGAGTGCAGTGGAGGATGGCCCAGGTCCTTGGGCCCTGCACCCGCATGGGAGACCAGGAGAAGCACCTGGCTCCTGGCTTTGGATCAGCACGGTGTGCCAGCCACAGCACACCGGCCACGGTGGCCATTGGAGGGTGAACCAACGGCAAAGGAAGACCTTTCTCTCTCTCTCTCTCTCACTGTCCACTCTGCCTGTCAAAAAAAAAATTAATGTTAAAATAAAATAAGTTTCTGTATGTTGCCTAATTAACAAGTACTGAAGGAACTAATAAGTGCATGAAGGAAAAGGTATGAAAGTGTAGAGAAGGACAAGTTAGAATCGGGGGAATGTATCAAACCTAGATAAAAGCCTTAGTAACATCAGAAAATGACTGGATTTTTTTTTTTTTAATCAAAGGACATCTTCACTAAGAACAAAAGTTAGAAAGATACTGGTATCTCTAAATGCCTGTGTCTGAGGCACAAAACCAGCTGTCATCAGGAGTAAGGCTTGAGAAAAATTCATGGAAAGAACACCAGTCAACATCTACACACTCTGCCTTGGCCTCCCTGTCTCTTATGTGCAGACTGACCTGAAAGGCTCTGATTCAAGCATTCATCCACCATCCATGGCTCTTCTCCTCGCTCCAACTTGAAGATCAAGTCAGGTTTGGTAATGCAGTGCCCTATTAATGGAAACAAAGTAAGACTTTGTAAACTCACTATCTTGGGTTATTTAAAGGACTACAGCTTGGTTCAGGAGCTATGCAACAAATGTTCCAATTTGAATCTTTTGTTAGATGGTAGATATTCAGATTATTCATGGACTCAAATTCTAATCCTGCCCAATATTAAACATTATAAAGTGCTCCCTTATTCGTCAAATAGCAAGAAAATGTTATCACTGGGCGTGTGATGGGTGTCACTCACCCAAGGAGAACAGGCTGCTGTAGGTCTCCAGCATCACATCTCTGTACAGGATCTTCTGAGCATTGTTCATGTTCTGCCATTCCTCCCACGTAAAGTACACAGCCAGGTCTTCAAATGCTGTCATCACCTATAATAATACACTTCCAGTCAACATGTTAACTCTATCACAAAATAAACACTGACAGTTGTGTATGGATATGAAGGAAAAAAGGAAGGATATGGTTTCACTTTAGACTTGTTGAGTGTTTAGAAAGCCACACAGAGCATTCAACAGAGTCAAACCCATGATCTACAGGCTGTGAGAAATGCCCAACCTAGAGGGAAACAGGAGGTTCAAATCACAAATGCCACATCATTCAAGGGGAATTGCACAGCAGGCTAGAAGAGGGGCAATACTGACTCTTGACTGGGCAATGTTAAGGAGAAGTATGTAGAAGCATTGAGGAAAAAAAGGCAAGAAACCATCAGTGAAACTATGATGGGAATGAACAGAAAACAATTTCCAGGAAAACACCATGCATATCATTTCCAATATGTCAGAGAAAAAATATATTAAAAGACAGGGCAGACATTTAGCTTAGTGTTGTTTATGATGCCACCTCAGAGTGTCCATGACTTCCAATGCCAGCTGTAGTTTCTAGCTCACAGATAATGCAAACCTGGGGAAGCAATGGTGATGTCACCAATGAAGGAGGCCTAGATTCCATTCCTCAATCCTGGCTTCAGTCCTGCCCCACCTGTTTGGTATGGTTATCTAGGAAGTGAATTAATGTGTCAAAGCTCTCTATCTCTCAGTCCATCAACTTTTTTCTCTATCAAGCTAATAAATATTTTTAAGTAAGAGAGAAAATACAGGTAAGACAAAGAATACAAATTAGTTTTTGCCCTTGTCTATGATTATTCTACTGATAAACAATTGAAATAACATTATACCTAATTAAAGTGAAAGCAATGGAAATACTTGCCCAAAACATTCAAATGATAAACATTTGAAATAACATTATACATAATTAAATGAAAGCAATGGAATTATTTGCCCAAAAAGAGAACCTGGAAATGTCTGCAGTACAATCTGCATTTGTGACTCACTGAGAAAAATGCTTAGAGATTTGTTTCAGAACTTGCAATAGTCACCAGAATTGTGATCCAGCAGGCTAAGCCTCCACCATCAATGCTGGCATCCCATGTAAACAGAGGACTTGACTCCTTGCTGCTCCACTTCCAATCTAGTTCCCTGCTAATCTGATTGAAAGAGCAGTGAAAATGGCCTGAGTATTTGGACCCTTCCACCAATGTGGGAGACCCATGGAGTCCCAGGCTCCTGGCTTTGGCCTGGCCCAGTCCCAGCCATTGTGGGCATTTGGGGAATGAACACTAGATAGAAGATATATCCTTTTGTCTCCCTGTCTCTCCCAATCTCTGCAAGTCCACCTTTCAAATAAATAATCTTAAAAAAAATAAATGAGCCTCCAGTAGATTCTTTTCTCCACACATTCCTTATCCTATTCCAGAATCCAATTCAGCTTTTCAAAGGTATTAAGAACTCCATTACTCTAACAATTTGAAAACAAACTTAACTGATTTGTGTTCTAGCACTAGGTAACTCTTCCTCTTGCAGAATGCTAAGTGTTTACTTCATAGGTAGCACTAAAACACTGTTCAGTACATCATCTATGTGTAGAATGTTTCAGACATGACCCCAAAAATGTAGCATATTGTGCTTAGTTTCAACTCAATTCATGTAACAAATATATATTTTGCTATAGCAACAGAAAGACAAGAGACCAAACTGCATTATTATAGATGACAGTAATGTTTCATAATCATGCCAAATTCATAATTCATTTCTGTATATTCTGTGATAACAAATTTTATGTTTATTTTTCTACTTTAAAATTTTTTAAAGATTTATTTATTTATTTGAAAGTCAGAGTTACACAGAGAGAGGAGAGGCAGAGAGAGAGGTCTTCCATCTGCTGGTTCAGTCCCCAATTGGCTGCAATGGCTGGAACTGCTCCAATCTGAAGCCAGGAACCAGGAGCTTCTTCTGGGTCTCCCACATGGGTTCAGGGGCCCAAGGACCTGGGCCATCTTCCACTGCTTTCCCAGGCCATAGTAGAGAGCTGGAACAGAAGTGGAGCAGCCGGGTCTCAAACCGGTGCCCATATGGGAAGTCGATGCTTTAGACCAGGGCATTAACCCACTGAGCCACAGAGCCAGCCCCATATTTTCCATTTTAATTAACTAGTATACTGGGACTGGCACTGTGGCTAGCAGGTAAAGCCACTGCCTTCAGTGCTGGCATCCCATATTGGTGCCAGTTCAAGTCCCAGTGGCTTCACTTCCAATCCAGCTCTCTGCTATGGCCTGGGAATTCAGTAGAAGATGGCCTAAGTCCTTGGGCCCCTGAACCCATGTGGGAGACCCAGAAGAAGCTCTTCACTTCTAGCTTTGGACCAGTGCAACTCCGGCCATTGTGGAAAACTGGGGAGTGAACCAGCAGATGGAAGACCCTCTCTCCCTCTCCCCCTCTGCCTCTCTGTAACTCTGACGTTCAAATAAATAAAAAATCTAAAAAAATAAATAAATAAACTAGCATTAAACACCTAAAATGAGTACTGACAAGCTGGGGAATAATTAAAAAAAAACACTTACAGGTGATATATTAATTTTCTTTCCTCTTAGAAACATGTGGAGGACCCAGAATCATACCTGGGAGAGAAGGTGAATGGCAGGAGTTCAAAGAAAACTCAGGAGGCCAACACTGTGGCATAATGGGTAAAGCTGCTGCCTTCAGTGCCAGCATTCCATATGGGTTCTGGTTCGAGTCCTGCCTGCTCAACATACAATCTAGCTTTCTGCTATGTCCTGAGAAAGCAGTGGAACATGGTCCAAGTCCCTGGGCCACTGCACCTGCATGGGAGACCCAGAAGCTCTTGGGTCTTGGCTTTGGATCGGCTGAGCTCTGGCCTTTGCAGTAATTTGGAGGGTGAGCCAGCAGATAGAAGACTTTCTCTCTCTGCAACTCTTTCAATAAATAAATGAAATCTTAAAAAAAAAAAAAAAAAACTCTGGTTTCCTTCTGCACTGAACAGTGGGAAAAAAGGATATAATATAATGAATAAATAATAATAAATACATTAACCAAGAAAACATCAGCTTCACTGTGGAGGAATAAACCTGTAAAAATAGAAATACATAGGAAAATGCACCCACCTATATTAAGTGGCAGAGATTAAACAGAAGTTATCATTGGTTTAACGAAAGCATTATCTACAAATTTTGTAAAATAATAATGTGAAAGTAAAAAGAAAAGTTGAGTGTTCAAATGAATAAGGTTATCAGAGATAAACATTATGTTGTTATTAAAGTTTATACTAAAGAAAGTTAACAAATACACATAATGTATATTTAATGCAGTGCACTTTACCAGTAATGATTCCAAGTAGCACCTTTCCCTGTATTCATCCCTTCACAAAACCCTGGATTGGGGCTGGCACTGTGGCCTAGCGGGTAAAACTGCCACCTGCAGACTGGCATCCCATATAGGCACTGGTTTGATTCCCAGCTGCCCCACTTCTGATCCAGCTTTCTGCTATGGCCTGGGAAAGCAGTAGAAGATGGCCCAAGTCCTTGGGCCCCTGTACCCATGTGTAAGACCCAGAAGAAGCTCCTGGATCCTGGCTTCAGATTGGCACAACTCTGGCCATTGCAGCCAACTGGGGAGTGAACCAGCAGATGGAAGAGCTCTGTATCTCTCTCTGCCTCTTCCTCTCTCTGTGTGTAACTCTTTCAAATAAATAAATAAATCTTTTTAAAAAAGACCCTGAATTTCACCATTTCACTTGATTTACCCCATGAGATACCAGTAAATGTGATAGAAATAGACAATTTGTTAAAAATATTTATTTATATGAAAGAGTTGCACAAAGAGAGAAGGAGAGGCAGAGAAAAGAGAGAGAGAGAGAGAGAGAGAGAGAGAAAGAGAGGTCTTCGAACTGCAGGTTCACTCCCCAGATAGCTGCAATGGCTGGAGCTGTGTAGATCCAAAGATATGAACCAGGAGCTTCTTTCAGGTCTCCCACAAGGGAGCAGGGGCCAAAGGACTTGGGCCATCTTCTACTGTTTTCCCAGGCTGTAGCAAAGAGCTGGATCAGAGGTGGAGCAGCCGAGTCATGAACTGACACCCATATGAGATGCTGGCACTGCAGGCGGTGTCTTTACCTGCTGTGTCATAGAACCAGCCCCAGAAATAGACAATTTGTGAAGTATTTGCCTTCTCAGATTTTCTTTTTCTGACAGTTATCTTCTGAACAACCCTGGGGCCTGCCTGTTGAAGAGATAGTATGTAGGCTGGCGCCATGGCTCACTAGGCTAATCCTCCACCTGCGGCACTGGTATTCCAGGTGACAGTCCCAGTTGGGGTGCCGGTTCTGACCCAGTTGCTCCTATTCCAGTCCAGCTCTCGGCTGTGGCCTGGGAAGGCAGTGGAGGATGGCCCAAGTTCTTGGGCCCTGCACCCACATGGGAGACCAGGAGGAAGTGCCTGTCTCCTAGCTTTGGATCAGCACAGCATGCTGACCATTGGGGGGGTGAACCAATGGAAGGAAGACATTTCTCTCTGTCTCTCTCTCTCTCACTAACTCTATCAAAAAAAGAAAAACAGAGATAATATGTAGCTAAGTTTCACCACAAACCCCAGACACTTAAGTGAAGCCTCAATCAGTTCCCCAAATGGCTAAACTCTCATTTCTGCTCCTGGACTGATCATAGGAACTGCCCAGCTGAGTACAGCCCATAACACAGTCAGAACTGCAAATCAAATGGCTATTTGTTAAGCCATTGTGTTTTCTGATTTGTCCTGCATCAAATGCTGATATATATCAGTAAGTATGGCAGAAAGTTGAATTACATGCAAACTACAATGCATACAACTTCAAAATTTCATTTGGAAGTTCCCATAAAACAGGGCCAGCATTGTCACATAGCAAGTAAACATGCTGTCTGCAATACAAGCACCCCATATGAGCACTGGTTCATGTTCTGGCTGTTCTGCTTTTGATCTAGCTTCCTGCTGATGGCCTGAGAAAAGCAGTGGAAGATGATCCAAATACTTGGGCAAATGCT